AAGCAATTCATTATCCAATGGCCAAACTACTGGTGATGAACTTGTTGAGAATATGAATTTTAATTAAAGAAGAATTGTCAAAAGGAAATTGATCCAACATCAGATACAGTTCAAACTCAAATTAACATTAAAGATCTAACTTTTAATGTTGCTTAGATCTAGAATCCTGTTCAAAGTAAAACTGGGAAAAAGTGGAGAAAATTGAGGCTTTTTTTGTAATATGAATTATCTTTTAATGATGAAGAATTTTTCCGCTATAGAATAAGGTCTTTCCAAAATACACTATGCAAATAGTGAAAAGTAGGAGGAATTCTTCTCTATTATAACATGGACTATGAATGGGAGATAGTGAATAGTCCAGTTTGGCTGGGGCAGAGAGTATGTGAAGGGGGTTAGAAATAAGGCTTGTTTATCTTACCAGATTGACAATGTAAGTGAGACAGAGTGAGTTAATAAGGAGGCTGACATGGTCCATTGTGTGGGTGATGCAGAAATAATAGATAATGTTCCGAATTTGCTGACACGTCAAAGGACACAGATTGTTACTGTGAAGAAGAAAAATTTCTGGAGGGTGAGGCAGTCACCTGGGAGAAGGATGATTCATTGTTGGATTCGATGGGTACATTTGCAAAAAGGCCATACTGTTACACTACTCTAGAGATCAATAGTTGCACATACATCAATTCAGCTTTATGAGTACGAGGCAAATGACCAGAAAGACAGCTGATGTTCAAGACTTTTTAAAGAAAGCAAGTTCTGAACCTCTCCTGGGTTCATTACACATTCGATCACATGGTATACACCTTCTACGTCTGAAGCATGGGATGATAAAATTAGTATCTGAAAAGATCTTGATAGGCTAAAACATTGGGTCAAATCAAATACAATAAAATTTAGGAGTAACGTAATCTTACACAGCTCTGAAAATCAACTTCACAAGAATAAGCTGGAGAAGATAAGACTAGATAGTATGTTATCTGGGAAATATCTGGGGGTTTTTGGTGGACTGAAAGCTTAACATGTCAGCAGTGTGATATCTCAGTCAAAAAGCTTATTTTTACCTTAGGTTGCATTGAGAGATGTAAAGCATTGGGAAGAGGAAACTGAAGTCTCTTACTCTCTGCCCTGCTCAGACCCTATCTGGATTATTGACCTCAGTACAGGGCATCATGCTGCTGAGAGGGAAAGTATCCAAAGGGTAATCAGGATGGTACAGGGTCTCACATGCCAGGGGAATCAGCTGAATGACTGAGGAATGCCGAACACAGAGAAGACAGGAAAACCTGGGTTGCAATTCACCTTAGACACTAGCTGTGTGACTTTGGGAAAGTCACTTGACCACTACCTCAGTTTCCTCATCTCTGAAACAGAGGTTGGATTTGTGGGCCTCCAAGGCCCCTTCAAGCTCTAGGTTCATAATCTTATTATTGAAGTAGATTTGTTCTACTTGGCTCAAGAGGGTAGGACTAAGAATGATGGGGTAGCCAGGTGGTGTTGTGGCTAGAGGGCTGGGCCTAGAGTCAGAAAGACTCATCTTCCTGAGCTCAAATCTAGCCTCAGGCACTCATTAGCTGGTGACCCTGAGCAAATTGCTTAATCCTGTTTGCCTCAGTTTCCTTATCTGTAAAATGGGCTGGAGAAGCTAATGGCAAATCACTCCAGTATCTTTGCCAAGAAAACCCCAAATAGGGTCATGAAGAGTCAGACACAACTGAACAACAAGAAGGAACAATGAGTGGTAGTCACATCACGGGGTGGCAGGTTTAGGCCTTGAGGTAAGGTAAAATGATACAATAAAACTTCCTAACATTTGGAGCTGTTGAAAATTTAAATGGCTGCTTTGGGAGGTAGTGGATTTCACTTCACCGGAAGTCTTCAAGCCAAGGCTGGGTGACCACCTGTTGAGTGTATTGTGGAGAAAATATCTTGTTTGGAAATGAGTTGAATAAAATGGTCTTTGAAGTCCCTATCAATTCCGAAGATTCCATGATAGAAGAGAAATAGAAAATGTCAAGGAAATGTAGTCGAGGAGAAAGCACACCCACCCCAAGTTTCCATGAACATTTTTAAGGCGACATCAGACAAATATAAATTAATAGAGTGCAAACTGTGTTATTCAATACTGAAGGAACAGAGTAATGGTTTAATAAGTGGTAGGTGGAATTAATCAGGGACAGCTTCCTGTATAGGTGAGTTTTGAAGGAGATTGATTTGGAGGGGGAGGAAAGAAAACATTTCAGATTAGGGGGCTGGCATATCCATATACAAAGGCAGTAATGCAAAAGATGTGTGTAGGAGAAAATTCTGTTCCCATAACAGGAGCACTGCTTAGTGGGAATCTGTTTCAAGTAGGTAAAAAATCTTTGGCTGGTATAGCTAGTCAGTCAATTGGCTTTTTCCTGCTTTGTCTTGCGTGTGGGGACGAAGTCAGTGAATTAATTGTAGGACCTCTGTGTACTGCCAGTACAATCCGCAGCACTATGATTCTCTAAGAGATTTCATTTACTAGCAATAAAATAAACATTTTCCACAAAACTGTATTTTCATACCATTTAATATTTCCACTCAACTTTGAGACAATAGCATACTTGGGTAAATTTCTGAGAATATATTGTTTAATTCTTTTATTATTTTGACCAGCCACCCCAATAATTGAAACTTATATAATCACTCCATTTCTTTGCTTCTGAAATGTTGAGAGTTCCTTGAGTTTGGATATTGTGTCCTGACATTTAAAAAAGGAAAAAAAAAAGTTTAAATTTCACCAATCGTTTAATAGCTTTTCTTTATAAATTACAGACGAGCCACAGGAAATACCTGTTATTAGTACTGTAGGTATTGACTCAGTTCTTAGCCCTTTGAAAGTCCAGGTCCAGGTAACTAATGAATGAAATGCTTAAGGAATTTTTTATCTTAATTCAATTTCAGCAAGCATTAATCATCTCCATGTAAGGCATTGTGTAGACACTGGGGACATGAAGACAAATACAAAAACTAGTATCTGTCCTCAAGGAATTTGTTATTTATGTGTATGCCTGTATCTACCTCCTGGTAGGGGCTGAACCTGTGATTTCACTGGCATGAGAAACTCCCAGAGGAGAAAACTCCCTCCTCCAATGTAGGTCAGCATGTTCTGTTCAATTTACCCTAAAGTAAGGTGACTTTCTCTCAGCTTCAGACCAAGAATGTCAGAGGGAAGACTCAAACCCAGGTTGTCCTGGTTCCAAGGCCAGTTCTTCATCTACTATGGGCCACACACATAACAGGGATATATACACATACACATATACATATGTACATACATACATAACATAGACCAGATCATTTGAGGAGGGAAAGAACACGAAGGCAATTAAAAACTGGGGGATTAGGAAAGACCTTAAGGACAGGTGGCATCAGAGCTGAATCCTGAAGAAAGCTAGGGATTCGAGGAGAGGAAAGAGAATCTTCCAGGAGATGGAATTCAAGAAAAAGCCAGCAGATTCGTTTGTCTGGAACATCGGGTGTGTAAAGGGAGGTACTGTGAAACAGAGCTGGAAAGGGTGGAAGGCGCCCCATTGTGAACATCTGTATCCTAGGGAGCCAATGAAGATTCTTGAATAGGGGAATGCCACAGTCAGGCTTAGGTTTTAGGAAGATTATTTTGGCAACTGTGGATGATGAATCGACACCGGAAACAGGAGACCTTTTAGGATTGCAGTAATCCACGTGAGAGGTGATGAAGGTCTGAAGTAGGATACTGGCCATATAACTAGGGAGATGGGGATGGATTTAAGATATGTGAAAGTGGAATTGACAAGACTTAGCAACAAGCTCCATATTGGGAGATGCCTCCAAAAAAACAGTAAATTTGGAGGAGGGGCAGAAGGAAAAGTTCTTCCCACGTAAAGACTCCTTTACGTGGGAAGAGTTTTACTTCGTACTCGTTGAATTTTGGATATCTACGATGACAGCCTAGATAGAGTTTAGGCAAGAAACACGACCCCAAAGAATGACTTTTTCGGGTATGTATAGTGACACTGGAGACAGGGTAAAGCAGCTGGATTCAAATCTGCAGATTCAGAACTGGAAGAGCCCTCTGAGGCCCCCAGGGCCAACCTCATTTTTACAGAGGAGGAAACTGAGACTCAGAGATGACAGAAACCTGCCCAACTCAAATACACTTCTACCGCTTACACTTGACCACAAACCCTGCACTCTATATTTACCCTGCTTCCTACTGTGGAACTAAAGGAAACATATGATAAAGGTCTCCGCAGAGATGTCTTAATGAGATGCAAAATGTGGAGAAACACCCTGCAACGTATTTTGGTAAAGTGAAGAAAGAACCTATTCATGCTCAGATCTCAACAGTCACTGGAAGAAATTTCACATAAGTTAGAGTAATGGGGGTGGGGGCTCGGGGAGACGGACCTGGCCAATAGCTAGTTTCCCTCTAACACGAAGAAACTGATTTCCTTGTCAGTTTCGTAGTACCTCTAAGTGATTTCAAACAACTAGTGTAGAGGCCTTGTTGCCTCCCAAATGTAACATGGTTTACAGTCGTCCTCCTCCCACCGACTATGTTACCAAAAAAAAAAAAAAGGTGAGCTGGGGCCAGACAGCAGGCGATTACCGCCTCCCAGAAGGCCGAAGGGTTTAAAACTTAATGGTTTTTCGCTCCTTTTGTATCCCCAGCCTTTAGGTTCAGCGCTCAGCCAGAGCCTGCAGCAGGCGTTATCTAATCTAAATCAAATTAAGCAATCTCGGTAAAGCACTTTGCAAATCTTGCAGAAGCGCTCTCTAGTCCTCCCGGCTCCGTCAGAAGCCCACCCGGCGGCCAGCCGTGTAGACCGTCTCCCTTTCCCCTGCGGACCTCGGGGCATGTGTCCCTACTCGGTGTCCACGAGTCTCCCGACTGCGCTACGACACAGAGATGGACACACGGGCACACGCCTGTGTACACACGGGCACACGCCTGTGTACACACGGGCACACGCCTGTGTGCACACATGTACACGATGTGCACAGCACCTATAGACATACAGGTATACGTGCACCTAAGTGCATCTAGAGGGAGAGAGACGTCTATGCCAATAAAACAAAATAAAAGGAGGGAGGGGAGCCTAGGACAGTCCGGCCCAGGCCTTTGTTCCCCCCGGGGGTCCGGCCCCCGAGGCTGGAGGGCGCGGGGCGCAGGGCGGGCCTGGAAGGAAGAGGCTGGGTGGGTGGGGGGGTGCGGGGACGGGCGGCGCCCCCTCCCGCTGGGCGGCCCCGGGTCCCTCCGGAAGGGTCCGGGCGGGGGGCTCGGCGTGGCCGGGAAGCCCCGCGCTGACCCGCGCCTGCCCCCGGGCTTTCCGGCTTCCTCCAAGGCCCTATATAGGGAGCCGGGCCCGAGCTCCGGCCGGCCTCCCCGGAGAGCCGGGATCGGGATCAGCTTCTCCGGGATTTCCCTGACGCCTCGGCCGAGGCCCAGGCAAGGACCGGCCGAGGGGGGAGGGGCGAGGAGCGGGTGGGGGGGGGGGGGGGAAAGCGGGGGGAGGACCGGGCGGCGGCGGCGGCGGCCCGGCTCGGAGCTGGGGGCGGGCCTCGCTCGCGCTGGGCTGCGGTAAGGGGAGGGGGAGGGGTGTGTTTGTGCGCGCGCGCGCCCCCGCCCCCTAGCGCTGGACACCCTGTGAGTGTGTGAGCTCGCGCGCGCGTGTGTGAGTGTGTGGTGTGTGCGCGCGGGGAGCCCGGAGTCGGCGGCGGCGGCGGCGGCGGCGGGGGCTGGAGGCGCCCGGAGCCTGCCCGGGCTGTCTCCCCTCTGACTCCCGGAGCGCGCGGTGACCGCCCCCCTTCTGCCCCCCCACCCAGGACGAGGAGGCGCCCCCCTGCCGACCCCCCCGCGAAGAGCCCGGAGCGGAGCCGAAGACCCGAAGACCCGAGGAGCCGGAGCCGGAGCCGGAGCCGGAGCCGGAGCCGGAGCCGGAGCCGGAGCGGAGCCGCGAGGGCGGGCGGCCGGAGCGGCCGGGGTCGGGCCGGCGCTGTCCCCGCCGCCGCCGCCGCCGCCGGCCGCCGGGGGAAGAGATGGCGGCGGGGCCGGAGCCCGAGCCGGAGCGGGGCGCCCGGAGCCTCGTCCGCGCCGCCTCCTTGTGGCTCGGCTGCCTCCTGCTGCTGCTCGGACGCCGGGACCCGGCCCTGGCCGCCGCCGCCGCCGCCTTCTCAGCCGGCAGGAGCAGCCCGCAGCCGCCGCCGCCCCCAGGTGAGTGCTGGGGGAGGGGGCGCCGCCGCCGCAGTCCCGCAGGGCCCCCTGGCGCGCGGCCCGGCCCACTTGTACGAGTGGCCCCGCCGAGGTCGCTGCCGCTCACGCCATTCATTAAGTTGTAGCCGAGAAAGTGCGTGTGCGGGGCGGGAGGGGGGGCAGCCCTGGGACCCCGACTTCCCGCAGCCGGCGTGGACCCCTACCGGGCATCCCCGGGCGGCGTCGGCGCATCCCTGCCGCAGCTGCCCGCGGAGCCCGGAGCGGGGAGGCCTGGGGGCTTCGGAACGACCCTCCCCCGCAATTGCCCGTTAGGGTTTCCGCTATGAGTTCCCGTCTCTTGGCTGGACCTTAAAACTTTTATTGATAGCGGGCTCCCCTGCAGCGTGGGCAACTCCTCGGGGCCTTTATTGATGGAATGCGGGGTGTCCCAGAGGTCTCAGTGCGGCGGTGAGCTTTTAATGAAGCTGCATGTGATGAGCTTTCGTCAGCCCCGAACAGCGCCGAGTCTTTCTTTTAAGCTGAAAGCTGCACCAGGACTTTTGGGACACCCGGTCTCGGGAGCAAGAATCAGAGCCCCCAGTGGGTTAGTCATGATGTGGCAACTTGTCTTACACCCCTTCCTAGATGGCTGAAAACTGACAGTCTCTGAAACGGAATAAACTTTTTTGAGGGGGCGGAGGGCAAGGGGGGAAACCGCAGAACTTCAGTACATGGGCACACTTCGTACCTTGTTTTTCATTCGATTAATGCATAACATCCTATTGGCTAGTGGAGTGGAGGTGTGGGTAGCAAGGAAGGGTTAAAGAATGGTGCGTTGGAGTGCGGAGAGCTTCGAAATTCAGTATTTACCATGGCAGGCTGGTGCTTGTGCATAGAGCCCTTCCAGACTTGGAGTCTGGAAGACCTGAGGTCGCTTATGTGCCCCATGAGCAAATCACTCAAAACCTCTCAACCTCAGCTTCCTCGTTTTAAAATGGGAATAATATCTGTTGTGCTTTCCTTAGAAGGTTGTGATAATGTAAATTTAAGTGCTTAAACTTTAAAAGATCCATATAAATGTCAGGGTTTGTCGTGTCATTTTTATTATTATTGTTATTATTAGACCCTGTCCTGTTCATTGCTTTAGGGAACACCAGGTTAGGAAATTTCCTGGGAGTCTTTCCACTTACTGCTGGGCATCTGCTCTGCACTTTAGTCTTAAAAAAGTTACCTAGGACCCTCAGAGATTTTGACTTGTTCTGGGCTTCAGAGACGGTATTGGTATCCAAGGTGACACTTGAACCTGGGTCTTGCTCTGAGATTGGCTCTTGGTTTGGGGTCTACCATGATAAGGCTGTGGTTCCGTGGTAGATCATGCTGCAAATGGCAGTTGTTAGGAATATTAATTTGAGGATGAAATAGAATATATGATAAAATTTGATTGAAAAAAACAAACCAAAAACTTGCACTGGAGTGTGTGGATGACTTTGGCCCTTAAAGTTCTGTTGATGCCACTTAGTGGCAGCTTCCAGTATCTTATGGACAGGTACTGCTTTAGATTCTTGATTTGTGGTTAAATCATGGTGGATTGTAAAGTGGCTAAATGTTAATCATAATTCATTTGCAAAATAAGTAGTTCTTGGGTTTAATTTTTAAGGAAAAATCAGTAGCATTTTATTTGAAATTAAAATTACTATTAGCTACTCAACAAGTGTATCTCAGTGCTAACTTTTGTTTGTGTAGAACTGATAGTAGTAATTTTTTAAGGAAATAGTTTTGTAATCTGTTTTCAACAAAAAGGCTTACATTCTAGTATCAAATTTTGGTTCTTCTTAGGTTTTCATGCAAAACTTTGGACCATAAATTTGTATATTCTTCAAAATGCAGGTTTCATTTTGAAAATTTTGTTCCAGTTTGAGTCCTTTTACTCATGGAAGTGACTTTTTTTTTAAAAAAAATTCTATTTTTAAGTTGATTTATTTTTAGTTTTCAACATTTACTTCCACAAGATTTTGAGTTCCAAATTTTCTCCCCATCTCGTCCGGCCCCCACCCCAAGACTGCATGCATTCTGAATACCCCTTCCCCTAATCTGCCCTCTATTTTATCTCTCCCCGACCTGTCTGTTTCCTATTTTCCTGTAGAGCGGATAGATTTCTATACCTCATTGCCTGTATAGCTTTTTTTTTTAGTTCTTAGTCAAGAGAAGTAAAAAATATATTGGAAAATAGGTTCTAACAAGTCATTGAAACTTTACTGTGTGAACAATCCAATTAACGGGTATAGTCTTAATTTGAATTTTTTTGACTGTGGATTGTGAGACATTCTGGTGATTTTAAGGAAAATGAATCTTAATAGTGGGGAAGAATAAGGGTATCCATAATCTTATCGAATGGCCTAACATTTTAATGGATTAATTTATAGAAGGCAAGTTTAAATTAGAATGATGCATGATGACAACATATTCATGTAGTGTTACTTGAGAATGTTTGTGAACATTTATATTTAGTTTTTTTGGCTACCTTAACATTTGAAATAATTCTTAAGATTACAACTACAATAGTGAAGTTATGTTGGATGCATAATTTTAAAGGAAGGGGTTCATGCTTGTGTTTAGCAACGTCTTAGGGCAATGAGTCTTCTGTTGGGGTGGGAGGTACTTAGAAGAAAGCAGTATCAGGAGTGAAAGGTTACATAAAGGTATATTTTTAAGGATTTTAAAAAATACAGTATATAATTTGCATATGTTATTGAATTCAAAACTTAGAACAGTCTTATGAGAAAGGTATTATTTATATTTAGTGGATCAGGAAATTAAGGAGCAGACAGGTTGAGTGCCTTGCCCATGGTAGCCACAGAGCTGTGAGGTGTAAGAGTGTTCAGGTCTTCCTGAATCCAAGACTAGTAGCTCTGTCTGTTATACTGTGCTGCCTCGCAAAATATGAGTGACAATGGATATTGTCACTGATTTCCCCCAGCTGGTAGTGCCTTCTCTTCTGAGGCTGCCATCTATCTACTCTGCATAGATCTCATGTGTACCCAGTTATTTACATGTCATTTCCCCCATTGGAATGTGGTTCCTCGAGGGCCTGGAAAGCTGGGTTGAGTGAAAGCCTGGTGAAGTGGAGACAGGGCTACATTTACAGCCAGGGGACCTGGATTCAAGTCCTAGTTCTGCCTCTTGCTGCCTTTGTGATCTTGAGCAAGTTATTAAAACTCTTTGGGCGTCCGATTCTTTATGTATAAAATGTAGGGGTTGGACTAGATGACTTTTAATGCCCTTCAGCTCTGAATCTGTGATCCTGTGAAAGGGTACCAGGTTAACCTGAATGGAAGCTGTAATGGGAGATTAGCTTGAAAGCAAATTGGGGAGATGTTGAACACTTGGCAAATGGTTTAGATTTTATTCTGAAGGCGTTAGACATTTAGTGTGAAACCTTTTGAGCAGGAGAGTAATGCTTAAGGAATGGTTTAGGAGGATTAATCTGGCAGAAGTCTATAGGTTGCACTGGATTGGGGAGAAACTGGAATTGGGAGGTAAGAGAAATAATTTTGATAGGTTACAGAGACAATGGTATGAAGGCCTTAATTAGAGCACTGGTGGTGGAAATGAGTGAGAGGAGTATTGATAGCTAGGGAGAGAACCTCGAAAGAGAAAAATAGAGTTTGGGGACAGAATTGTGGGTAATACCAACTTGTGTTGTTTGTCCTTTGTTCTCAAAGATGACCATGACATCAGGAGATGATAACATAACTTTCGAGTGAATTGGATTTAAGTGAGGGAGGGCTGTGCAAAGTCACCAGCATCACTTTCTTCTCCAGAGCCATCTGGGTCCAGTGACAAGATATAGATCAGGACTACTGGAGGTGGCCCCCAATACTGATTTTTAAGTGGTGTGGGGAAGGAGAGAAGCCAGGAAAGGGAACAAGAAGATCAGTTAATCAATAAACAAGCTCCTGCTCTATGCCAGGCACTGTGCTAGTCTCTGATAGAGAGATGGGAGGATAAGTAGTACCTGAGATAGTTGGATCCCAGAAGCCTACAAGTCTAACACTTCAGCTAAGTCAAAGGCAAAGAAAACAGAAAAACCACCGTACTTGGCAGTGGGGACTTGAGTGATTGTGGTGGAAGCTAGATTTCAAGAAGCAGACAATACCACTCTTTGAAGAAAAGTGAAGGTGAGGTGAAGGAGAGGGGGGCAAATAGTTTAATGGGTGGGTTTCATTATTTCTTTTGGCACTGAGGACCCTGGAGCATGTTTTTGGAGAAAACGGAAGGAACTGGTGGAGAAAATTCATTTGGAAGGATTGGTAATTCATGGACCAGAGTCTGAAAAAAGATGAAGGGCTATGATTTTAGGGCACAGGTTGAGGGGCCTGGATTTAGAACTGAGAGTGGATAGTTCTCCTTCCTTCCTAATAAAATAAATGAAGAGACATATGTTGGGAAGAAGCCTGAGGCCTTGATAGTAATAAATTAGGGGATGAGGTCATCTGCTAGTGAAGGGAGCTGGAGTGGAATTGGGGCAATGAGAAAAGGAGAGGAGGTTTGGGATAGTTGTGAGGGGTGTATAAGGGAATCAACAAGAAATGGATTACTGAATTATTGAGCCAAAGAGATAAAAGTGCTGTCCATACTTCCTACCTTGGCTTATAAACTCCTGAAGCTCAGGGACTCATTTAAACATTGTATGCTTTCTAATGATGACCCCAATGTTTTGCCCAAAATAGATGCTTAAGAAACATACTGATTTATAGTGGGCAAGGTCATCCTGTTGTAGTTTTTTCCAGCATTAGACTGTGGCCTGAATTAGATTGGAGCACAGGTCCTTAACCTTTTTGGTGTCATGGACACAGTCTAGTGAAACCTATAAAACCTCTTCTCAGAATGATTTTTTTAAATGCATAAAATAAAATACATAGAATTGCAAAGGAAACTAGTTATATAGAAATAAAGTTATCAAAGTATTTTTTAAAAAGTTCATGTCTCAAATTTAGACCTCTAGGTTTGAGAAAGCGTAC